GCGCTCGGGATTTCGAAGTGAAACGTTAACCCTTGTGTGCTTGTGAAAAATACGTGTTGCAATTATTGCAGCAAGCACATACAAGGCGTAACATGTAATATTGCAGAAAAATATTTTGAAATGTGAACAATATGGGAGCGAGTCCTGAAGGGTAGCTTTGGGTAAAAACCAAATATTTCGGAAAAATTAATACTCATGATCATATCACAGTCCTTTTTTAACCCCGTGCACAGCATAAGGGTAAAACGACATCATCTTCTTCTGTTTCTTTCGCACTTACGGGAAAACACCCTCTCACTCGCACTCATCATTGTAGTGCGGGGAAAAAAAGCCGACGACAGTACCTTGTACTTACACTTAAATAGGTTCAAATCAAAACTGTTTGTTTCTTACTTCAGTCAGTGCCGGATTAGCCATATAGCAGGAGTAGCAAATGCTACGGGCCCCGCGCATTGGGGGCCCCGCGCGGCCGCGCTCCAACTCCTACCTATCTGATCGTAAAAAAAAAAATTTAGATAGGAGCCTAAAAATAATTTGCATGACTTAAGTATGGTCAGTGCTTACGAAGATGATTTGGAGAACAGCCTAGGTGGCGAATTAGTGCAGTTCGCAGAGCTGCTGAAAACAGATGTGGCTACTGTTATTGACAGCACGAAACAGGAGCCTCTGGAACAGCAATTTTATAAACTTTTATTAAATAATTCTTTAGAATCGTGTTTCCCAAACTTAGAAATTGCCTTGCGCATTTACTTGTCTCTCATGATCACTATCTGCAGTGGCGAACGTTCTTTTTCAACATTAAAACGTATTAAAAATGAATTAAGGAACACGATGGGCCAAGAACGTCTTAATCATCTCACTTTGTTGAATATAGAGCATGATTTGCTTAAAGAAGTCGATATTGAAAGTGTTATCTCTAAATTTGCCCATATTAAATCCAGAAAAGTTTATTTGTAACAATTTTGTTTTATTTAATACCCTAAACTTGAGAACCTAAAGCAAAGCAAGGGCCCCTTGACAGAATTTGCTACAGGCCCCGCGCTAGCTTAATCCGGCACTGACTTCAGTTATCATAAACCAATTGTATCAGTTGTAAAAATTTGCAATGATGATTCTGATAATAGCGATGGTGTAAAAGTCGTCGAAATTATGGATGGAAGTTGATTTTTCTGAGAGATATAAATAACGATATAATATTATAAATAACAACATATAAATTTCCATATTTTTGGTACGATAGCGCAATAAATAAACATTGTATTCTACCTCTCTCATAAATGATAGTACTTTTATACTTATAATTAAACACAACGTTAATATTGAAGTTTTCACTTCTGCCGGCACTCCCGGAGTGCTACCGGTGTTTTTTTTTGTAAATTCAAGGCTCTATTGTAAAAAAAACGGTTTCAGAAATGTTATTCAAAATGTTGGCCGTCGCTAGCTACTACTTTTGACCGTCTTTCTGGCAGCATGCGTATTCCGTGACGAAAGAACTCCTCATCTTTCGAGTCGATCCAAGTATCAATCCAATTTTTGACTTCTTCATAAGAACTGAAGTGCTCTTTAGCTAGACCGTGTGCCATCGATCGGAACAGGTGGTAGTCAGATGGAGCAACGTCTGGAGAATACGGCGGGTGGGGTAAGATTTCCCATTTCAGCGTCTCCAAATATTTTTTGATCACCTTTGCGACGTGAGACCGAGCATTGCCATGCTGGAGAATGACTTTATCGTGTCTTTCCTCGTACTGTGGCCGTTTTTCTTTAATTGCTCGGCTCAAACGCATCAATTGCGTTCGGTATCGATCTCCTGTGATGGTTTCACTTGGCTTTAGCAGCTCATAATACATCACCCCCAGCTGGTCCCACCAAATGCAGAGCATGACCTTGGCGCCGTGAATGTTCGGTTTTGCCGTCGACGTGGAGGCATGTCCATGCTTTCCCCATGACTTTCTTTGCTTAGGATTATCGTAATGGACCCATTTTTCGTCGCCAGTTACGATGCGATGTAGAAATCCCGTCCGGTTTTGCCTTTGGAGCAGCTGTTCTCATGCAAAAAAGCGCCGTCCGACATCTCTTGGTTTTAAGTCGTAAGGAACCCAGTTTCCTTGTTTCTGAATCATCCCCATGGCTTTGAGGCGTTTTGACACGCCACTTGCAATGATTTGGCCAACTCCTCTTGGGTTTGAAACGCATCTTGGTCGAGTAATGCTTCCAATTCAGCATCTTCGAAAATCTTCTCCCTTCCACCACCATGCCGGTCTTTGACTTCATAACCACCATTCTTAAAACGTTGAAACCATTCGCGACATGTTCTTTGACTCAGAACATCCTCACCGTACGTATCCAAAAGCATTCGATAAGCTTTAGCAGCACTTTTCTTGGAATTAAAAAAGAAAAGCAAAATTTCCCGCAAATGTCGAGAATTCGGCTCAAAAAGTGACATTTTCAGTTGAGAATAAGTTTGGGATGCAAACAGATATCCACAAATATTTAGTTGGGTTTTGTTGGACAGATGTGCAAGATCGATATAAAAGTATTTAATCGATTTATATCGACCAGTGCTTGACCCTAGAGACATCTATTGGAAAACGGCGGAAGCAAAGTTGTAGACCCAATATAAAATGCTTAGACTCGACTAAAATAAAACCGTGGGGCACGTCAATTGTCTACATTCGTTGGTTAAAATGTTTGTTTGCCCCACGGTTTTATTTTAGTCTAGTCTAAGCATATGTTTATAATTCTCACGTCTGTATCTATTTTATATTATTTGTAGGTTTTTAGTAGGGGAGGGTGGTCCCATACCGACCCCCTAAAAGGCAAAGGCGATAAAGGTGAGAAAAAATCAATTTTTCAGTTCAGTTCAAAAATTTACTATGTAGAGGGATCAGTTTACTATACATCTAAATGATTAGTAAGTGCGTGGGTGCTTTGAAGCGTTAGATATTCAGGCAAATATAAAACTCCACTTTTTGGTCGTACTCAAAAGTAGTGGTCCGAAACCGACCCCCTATTTCTTAACAGAAAAATTTAATAACTTAAAATAGAATTTAATGATTTTGACGTTTATTAAGAAATATATTGAAGGTTCTTTCCAGAAAATAAAAATTAATGTATGAAATAAAGGGCACTGTAGTCAATTGATGAACTCTGAGTTGTCCTCTTTCTCATAGTAAGTTTTCGCGTTGTTTTCGCGTTGTTTTTCGAAAGCCGCTCGTTGATGACTGTCTCTACGCTTTCTTCTGATCTTTTTGCTGTTTCTGTTACTTTTCTTTACTGAATCTTGTTTACTTTTTCATATTTTCCCTCAAAAATACTCTATGACATATTAAGCTGCCAATAAATGGGGGTCGGTTTCGGACCATCACCTAGCGGTCGGTTTCGGACCACCACGACCTTTTCTGATTAACTGCTCGGCATTAACTAAAGACGCAAAGAGCGATGTAATTCTAATTATGTGAGTGAAAGCTAGGACTATCAACGATCAGAAAAATGTACTCTCCGATTTTTATGCAGAGAAAAAAAAATTTAAGCTCAAGTTCAGTAAAGCTCAAAAATAAATGTCACAGGCGTTGAAACAAAACAAACGGAAAAATTGCAGTGAAACAAAATAAGTCAAAGTGGCTATCTATCTCCAAAATGTCTGTGTTATAACAGCTTTTCACTGAAGTTACCGACAATTCGGCTAGCATCGCCATCTCTGAGAAACATGGGGGGTCGGTATGGTACGACCGGTCGGTATGGGACCACCCTCCCCTACATTTATCTTAAAAATTGCAATGTATGTTTTATATAAAACGGCTTAACTTAAAAAGTTTTTTTACCTATTTTTATTTTATAACTAAAACCCATTTGGTAGCGGCGGTTCAATTTTGCATAGTAAATTGTATTCTACTTGTTGAGACCTTTCATTTGATACCCATGTTGATGGGATTGATAAAACCTAAGTTATCCGCCATTTTGTAGAGGCTGCCATCTTGTACTTTAATTTTATATAGAACATTGTATTCTACTGGTTGAGCACTTTCATTTGATACCCATATTGATGGGATTGATAAAACGTACGTTATCCGCCATTTTGCGGCCGCCATCTTGGATTTACAATATTATTGATATTACTATATTGTATTGTCATCGGAACTGAAGGTGTGTACCAAATTTTAGATCAATCTGACAAAAGGAAGGTATTCAAATTTCAATTTCTAATTTTGACCCAAGAAACAAACAGGGTGAGCTAAATAAAACAGTTTAAAAAATATATTGGGTTCCGTCGATCCTGTAGGATAACTCCTGAAGGTCCTTCACAAAAAGGTGTCTGGCTCTCTGGTTCTCTGATCCAAATTATCAGAATACAAAAAACCGAAAGATAATCGATCTTAGACAACATGGCGGTTTCCCAACCAAAAACCATCTTTTTTGGCACGAAAATTTACACTTTAAAGTTACTTAAAAAAATCGAAATATTTTATTCCGTTCGTCATTACCTGACAAAAGTATCTAAGAAGAGCCTGTGAAAATTTCAAGTCAAACGGTCAAGCCCTCGGAGAAATATTTCTCACCGACTTTGAAAAACGCATTTAAAGTTTTGGCTACTATTTGAACTATGTCGGAGACGTCTTTAAAAATACGCTCACTACTCCGAAACTATTTACTGGATTAATTTGAAATTTTCAGTCAATATATTTAAATATATCTATATATACACTCAAAATAGGCAAAAGACTATACATATGATAAGTTGTCCGATTTTGTTAAAGTTTAATTCGAAAGAGATTTTTTTACATAAAAACAGCCAGACGGAGAGACGTACACACGTATTTCGATTCAGATCGTGATGCTGATCAAGAATATATATACATTATGTGGTCTTAGCTATTTCCTTCACTGCGTTGCAAACTTCTAAATGAAATTATAATACCCTCTGCAAGGGTATAAAAATGAGAAACGCGTTTTTGACGTTGATCAAATAAATAACTTTGCAACCCTTAGTCATTTGCACTTACCTGCTGCTGGTCTACTGAACATGGTTCCTGTTTTTCCAAAACGGCACTAAGATGGCTGACATTGTCCTTGTCTTGGTAGTGATCTACTGCTACGTATGTTTTAGACGAAACTAATTGTTTGCTCAAGGGGATAACGTCAAAGTCATTCTCCTCGTCGTTGGTCTCGTCAGCGTTTAACAGGGCGGGTTCCGTGTCCAGGTCGTATGTAGGTTTCTGCTGGAACTGGGAAAAGGACAAGTGGTCGCCAACAGATCGTAGGTTAACGCCCTGTCTGACAACTGGGGAATCATCTATCAGCTTTAATTCACAGGGAGTGTGAATATGTGTGTGTGTCTTCTGGGTTAGATTGGATCGGGCGTATTTGCCTACAGAAATATTTGGTGTCTGGCGTGCAAAGCTAGAAGAATGCAATGTTGCCTTGGTAATAGCATAGCCTAGGAGACTTATTCCCAGCAAAAGTCCACTCCAGAACGCTAGGGGATTTATTAAAGGCAATATGTTAAGGTAGAAGTTAAATCGCGAATTCAGGGAGTCGGGCAGTTTTGTCATCATCTGTAATGGGAATTTAAATCATACGCTAAATTAATTAGTTGGAAGTGTACGCACGATATCAAACCATAACATGGGCGCAGTTAAATGACTAAACCTGGAAACTTTTGGAAAATTACTGAGGTCCTTGAAGTGCATATTGATTTGCACTTTGACGGTGAGAGAAAGCGGAAGTCCGGATTCCTAAAATGTAGGAAAACAAATAAATTTAAAAGCTAATGAAGTGGTAGCTATATAAAAACAATATTGGCTACATTAGTGTGATTTCAGATATATCTTTTTTGTGTGGTAAGGTGTTACCCTTGGATTGCGTGCAGTCTTTGGTTTAGTACTTCTTTTGTTGTTTTTCCCTTAAAGGCGGCATTATACCTTTATTTAATATTAAAATATATATTAAATATGAGAATCCGTATTCATGTACTAGTAAAGACACCATAATAAACCCTTTCGGATCGTTTCCACACATCAACATAATAGGATTTCAGGTCTCAAGTTGTGAGCAATATTTAAACAAACAATGGAAATTTACATAAAAAAACAAGATAGGAAGCTAGGTTCGGCAAGCCGATGCATATAGTATGTCGAACAAAATACATAAACGCTAAACAACATCGAAGCTATGTCGATTTTTATACCCTTGCAGAGCAAAGGGTATTATAATTTCAGTCAGAAGTTTGCAACGCAGTGAAGGAGACACCTCAGACCCCATAAAGTATATATATTCTTGATCAGCATCACGATCAGAATCCAAATATGTATGTACGTCTGTCCGTTTCTCTTTAAACTAGTCTCTCAGTTTTAAAGCTACCTTCAAGAGTCGTTAGAATATTTTATATCCCAAAAATCATGCTTATCTAATAAAAACCAACCAACCAATTTTATTTCCTTTTTTTCTATATAGATTTTTCGATCTTTTCTATGGCAGCTATAAGATATAGTTGTCCGATTTTTATGAAACTTTTTTCTCAATATAAGGGTTGTTAAAAAACTTGATTTTCAAAAAATCATGCTCGTGGGTTAAAAAACAACGATGTTATCAAATTTATTTCCATTAATTCTATATATATTTTTCGATCTCTCCTATGGCTATATGATAGAGTTATCCGATTTTGATCAAATTTAATCCGAAATTCAATAACAGTTAGAAAACGCCATCTTGAAGAATTCAAGTCGATCTGAGAAAAAATAACGGCGTGAGAATTTTTTATTTCATTCTCTCGTATGGGAGCTATCCGATATAGTCGCCCGATCCGTCTCGTTCCGACTTATATACTGCGTGCAATAACTACACACCTTTTGGGAAACTTTCAGCAAAATAGCTTTAAAACTGAGAGACCAGTTTGCGCGGAAACGGACAGATGGACAGACGTATTCCGATTCTGCTCGTGATGCTGATCAAGAATATATATACTTTATGGGGTCTGAGGTGTCTCCTTCAATGCGTGAAGTCAAATATAATCGTATCTGGCAATGCTGTATATCGTTTGAAAGGTATTGGCATCACTTTTAAAATGACATATAGTCTGTCTTAGGAGATAACAAACTTTCGATTCAAACCGCCGAACAGGCGATTCCGAAGTGGCAATTTTGATACCGAAACACCCAAGCCTTCCGGACGACCAGTGACCGTTGATACGGATAAAATCATGGAAATAGAGGATCGAGATCGTCATGTGACTATTAGAACCATACCAGAGGAGCTGCAACCAAGCACGGAAATCGTCCATAGGCATTTAAAGTCGAAAAATTTAACAAAAAAGTTCGACATGGGTGCCTCATGAGTTATACCAAAAAAACCTTTTCGACCGTGTATCAATCTGCGAATCTTTGTTGCACCGTAATAAACTCGACTCATTTCTGGATCGGTTAGTCACTGGTGATGAAAAATGGATCACATATGCATAAGAAGCACGGTGAGTCGTCTCAAACGGTGGCAAAGCCAGGACTGACGGCTCAGAAGGTGTTGCTGAGTGTATGGTGGGATATTCTGACCTCTACTGTGAACAACTGGAGCGATTGAAAATTGCAGTTGAACAGAAGCGGCCAGCCATGGTGAATCGTAAGGGCGTTGTACATCTTTGGTGATGCGTCACAAGCTACGGAGCATCTAGACCATCTATCACTTAAATCGGACAATGCTAACTATGTTAAAATCGTCGTCAAAAATCAGTAAAAAAAACCGGTATGTCATTATCAAACAACCTAATATGTATGTATATAGTATTTAATAAGTTTACCTAAATGTACCTTCTGTCAAAAATTTCTATTTATTCATCCAAATTTATTTTGTCGCCTTCAAAGTAGTCCCCATTAGAGGCAATACACATATGCCAGCGATTCTTCCAGTCTTCGAAACATTTTTTATAAGCGTTTTCCGGGATAGCCTTCAACTCCCGTGCCGAATTTTGTTTAATGTCTTCAATGGTGCTAAAACGGGTTCCACGAAGCGGCAACTTGAGTCGAGGAAACAAAAAGAAGTCGCACGGAGCTAAATCTGGCGAATACGGAGCTTGTTCGATGGTATTTATCGAGTTTTTGACCTTGTATTCGTTGACAATGGTAGCTCGATGCGGCGTCGCATTGGAACAAGCCGTGCAGCGACTCGTTTCATACCCAAACGGTCAGTCAAAATGGTACGAATTGACTCGTGAGAGATGTTCAGGACTTGTGCTATCTCTCGTAAGCTGACATGATGATTTTCAAAAATAAATTCCTTCACTGCATCGATTTTAGGGTCGGTGAGAGAGGTGGATGGTCGTCCCGAACGAGGCATGTCTTCGACAATCTCACGACCCTCTTGGAATGCTTTGTACCACTCAAAAGCACGTGTTCTCGATAAAACTGCATCACCATAAGCCTTCTGCAACATTTTTAACGCGTCAGTACAAGAAATTTTGTCGCAACACAAAATTTAAGACAAATTCTTTGTTCAATATAGTTGTTCATTATAAAATTCGGCAAGCAATCAGAACATAGACTGACGTAACCAGCGACTGTAAACAAACTACTTCACAGATCGCGATCAAACTTTACTTAGTAATGCAGAACAGTGTTACCAATATAACAAAAAAAAATTTCCGAAATCGGTTTAGCACAGGCGTTTTAATTAATCCAGTCCCGGTACTTTTTTGACAGAAGGTAACAGTCTCCTTCCTGACATTGCTTTTAAGTAAGTTATATAGCTGTACTAACGGCCACGCTGATTGACCAAATATATAGATATGTAAGAATCAATTCGAGAAACTATATATGTGGAGTTGTTAACAACAGTAACAGCAACAGTTGTTTGGGTTAGTTTCTGAATGTAGCCGGCTACTCACATCTATTTAAGGTCAGATAAATACATACCGGTTGAATGATGAAAACTGATGAGTGCTTGGTTGGATCAGAATTCATGCCGGTAACGTTTTCTTGTAGCCCCAAGTCGCCGTTCATGAAGTGCGGAAAGCTCAGAGATATTGGGAATCCGTAGTAGCAATCAGTGACGTCGATCAATCCAACTGGCTGACAGTCACCTGTGCAGAATTGAAATAGATACACAGACAACATTTTAATTGTTTGAAATGGTCAATGTTAAAAATGTTAAGGAAAAAATTATATAGAAATAAGTGTTTAAAAAACTGCAGTCGAATTAGCAGAAGTCGCAAAATAAAAGCTTTTCGGACTGTGTGCAATATTCTAAAATAAGCAATTGCTTTTGCATCTGCTTTTGTAAAAATCAGAAGTCGCAGTAGAAGCATAGGCTAAAATCATGAAAGCAACGAGAATAAAAAATCATCAGCAGGCCCCACTTTTCGTTTTCTTGCTTCTGATTTGATGTTGCTTTCAATCGTAGCCGAAAGTAGCAGGTGTCGGCTTTCGGAAGTCGTCAGTAGTCGAAGCCTCAAAAAATGAAGCATTCGACCTATTGTTGCTTTTGATTTTGACGCTGCTGCTTTTAATAAGCAGCACACGTAAAATAAGCCGCTGGGAAAAGAAGTACACACAAATGTATGTTTTTATAAAAACTTTAATGATTAAACGTGTATGTAGGGGAGATGTGGGGGTTGTGGGCATAGTTTTGTTTTTGGCTTATAATTACCGAACTAGTGCATATTATTTGGACATATGGGTATCTGTGTAAAGCTAGAGACCTAAGCTAACTAATTATGAAGAAACATACTTGATTTTGTCATGCAAAAAAATTTCATATGGACTTTTTTAAAATCGTAATTTTTAGCTAAAATTTTTTTTTGGGGGGGTTGTGGGCACCCTGGGAAAAAATGCTGCAAATGGAATAATATGGAAAAATACCCCAACCAATATCAACAAAATGACAATTTATTTATTTCACGAATATTCTGAAAGTCGAAATATAAAGAATAAAGCGTGGAATTCTTAGTAATAATCTAAATCTTACGAATATTCTGGAAGCCGAAAAATGAAGAATAAAGTGGGAAAATCTTAGTGATAATCCCTTTCAGCGGGAGAGGATCCTTTTCCAAGAGCCTAAGATTTCTACAAGAATGTTCTAGAGGGTTCCAAACAAATTTTGAAAACAATTTTATAAGAAATTGTAGGTAATAAAAAAATTTGCCAAAAAAAAAAAAAACGGGTGCCCACAACCCACCCAATTTTGGTGCCCACAACCAACTTTCGCAGACATTTTAAGAAGTAATTAAAAAATGTGTTTGCATAAATTTTTTGGTTCAAATCGATATTGTTCCATTTAGTATAATGCTTTGACTAAATAAAAATGCATTACACTTACCTTTTTATCGATTCACTTTAATTGATACACTATTGAAAATCTTTGAATAAAGTTTCACCACCTTTTCCAAGCACAAAAAAACCAATTCGTTTATTTCAAAAAGCAAACGAGTTCGTTTACTTTGATATTTGGCATAAATTATACATAGGGTAATTGCTTGCGAATGACATTACCAACAAAAGTCAATCTTCATTTTGTGAAAATATAGGTACGTAGGGGTGCCCACAACCGACCCATGCCCACAACCCCCACTTCTCCTCTACATATATTAAAAATAAACATTATAATTTTAAATTATTCATCTTCTAATCAAAAGCAGCAGCGTCATAATCAATGTCAGTTCCCCACACTGACCTCCATTACTAGGGCAATGTCGGACCACCGAATCATTAGATTTGAATTAGACTTCAACACCTCTAGGGACGCCTCCAAAAGGAAACTCAAGAAAACAAACTGGGATTGGTTTAGGTCCTCTCTCGAACTAAATCTCTCTAACGAACCGTCAGATATACCCAGACATTCCTTAGAAATAGATCAGGCAGTGGGTAACCTCTGCGAAAAAATAGCCAATACCTTCGGGGACAGTTGCCCTCTTCGCAGACAGAAAAGGGAAAAAGACGCACCCTGGTGGAACGTCAACCTGGAAAGGCTACGAATCTCCACCCGCCGGCTCTTCAACAGAGCAAAAACGGGCGAGGAAAACTGGGGCAAAGCCTGATGCTCTACAACAAAGAGATCAGGAAAGCCAAACGGAATAACTATAGAGACTTCTGTGACGCAATCAGCTCAGCCCAGGAAGGGACAACCTGAAGAAAAGTAATAACAGCTAAACTTCCGACGATAGGGATAAACGAGCATTACTCTTTCAAACATACTTCCTTGGAAGCTCACCCCTGGTGGAGGATGCGTCAACCCCAGTGGAGGTAGTGTCCACTCCGAGACACCCCAGACCGTGTGCAAGGGACTAATCAATTGCCAAGTCTATAGTCGCTCCGAAGAGACTTATATGGGCAATTGGGATCTTCCAACCATTTAAGTCACTAGGTCTGGATGGTGTCTCACCAATCTTCATGCAGCAGGGGCTGGATCTACTCCTTACCCGCTTAAGGAAACTAATGTTGAGTAGCCTAGCAATTGGATACGTGGCCTAGAGCTAGGGTGGTCTTCATCCCCAATGTCGGGAAGCTTCACTTGGTTTTGTCTCAAAATATTGGAAAAGCTGGTAGACTACCATATCAGCAGCATAGTTCTCAAGGATAGTCCGCTGCAATCCACGCAGCATGCAAACAGAGCAGGTCGACCAACAGACGCAGAACTGAACCAACTAAGCCATATTTTTGAAGGGGAAATAGACAATAATGAAGTTGCAATCTGTGCCTTTCTAGATATGCTGTCTTAGCGGCCCTCATTAGAAGAAATATTTTTTTTTTTATTATTATAGCTTTGCTTTTATTTATTGAATCTACTGTTAATTTTGAGACTAACAATAAGTTGGCGAATCTTAACATTAAAATTTAACTAACAGTATACTAAAACTGCATTCTGGTTGCGCGTCCCTCAGGTCGATCGCTGGGTGGGTAAGTCATTGCGACGAAGGCGTGATTGGTTGCTCAACCTTGTGAGACCTCTCGCCAGGTGGTTAGGGTGCACCGATAGCTTGGTTAAGTACTTTACCTTCTGTTCAGCGATCAGAGTGAACGTAACGTGCTTGCATTTTAGTTCGTTCACTTTAATTCTCCAATCTGACAGCCATTTTTCAACATCGACCATATAAAGAGCTAGCTGCGCAGTTGCTTGATTCGGGCATTTTGAGCGGCTAAGAATAGCTGTTTCATCGGCAAACGTGGATGTTGTTAGACGTGTGCTTGTCGGGATGTCTGCTGTGTAGAGGACATATAATATTGGCCCTAGCACGCTACCTTGAGGACCTCCAGCTCCAACGGTGTAATCGTCAGATGTAGCAGTGTTGCACCTCACGACAAATTTTCTGTCGTAAAGGTAAGACTCTAAAATCTTGTGGGTGCTGTAGGGGAGCATAGTCTTGATCTTGTACATTAGACCTTCTAGCCAGAATCAATCAAATGCTTGAGAGACATCTAAAAATAGGGCAGTACAGTACTCTCGTTTTTCGAACGCGTTCGGAATTTCGGATGTTATCCGGTTGACCTGCTCAATTGTTCCATGCTTTTCACGAAACCCAAATTGGTATGACGGGATTCCTTCCTGGATTCTCAGGTATGTGTTTATCCGAGTCATTAAGCATTTTTCAAAGAGTTTGGATAGGCAAGAGAGTACGCTTATAGGTCTATACGACGTGGGAATAGTGTGGTCTTTCCCCGGCTTTGCTATCATTATTATAATTGACTTTTTCCATCTCACTGGAAAGTGGCCAAGTTTTGCGATGGCATTAAATAGCTGGGTGAGAGTGCAAACGGCGCAGTATGGGAGCTCAATGATCATTTTGGGAGTTATGAGGTCGCAGCCCGGGGATTTTTTCGGATTCAGTTGCCTTTTGATGATGTTAACGATTTCGTTTGGGCGAAACTCGATTGGCTCATGTTGAGGCTGGGGTTCATATGATAGAGTCGGCAAAGTAAACGCATTGGTGGCAGGATTTGGTTGGAAGACATTTTTAAGGTGTTTGGCCAACGTTCTGGCTCTGTCTGCGTCGCTGCGCGCCCACCCGCCTGTGGAATTTCTAATAGGCATCACGGTTTCTTTCGGTGAGCTCATTGTTGGGTGTGCTCTCCATAGTGAGTGTTTTGTACTATTAGTTGACAGTTTCTCTATGTAGCTCTTGCTGTAGAGCTTAAACAAGTTGACGTGAGGCATGTTTTAAGCGTTGCTTAGCAGATGGCGATCTGTGACATTGCCATTCTCGACGTAAGCGTGGCTTTTCGAGGACGAGCTGTTCGATTTGTAGATTGGTCTTCTATGGAATGCATTGTGTGTTTAAAGTTTAAGGTGTTGAAACTCGAGCTGCAGAGACGAGTACAGCCTCCAGTGATTTAACAAAACTGTCTACGTTGGCTTCGTCGCTGAGGTGAGGACTCAGCTCAATGTGTGAGCTGATATACTTCTTTTACTTAACCCAATTGGTTTTATGTGAGGTCAGTTTTGATGAGTGATCCCATGTTCCTGGGTGTCGGAATAGAGTAAAAAGGACAAGCGAGTGATCAGATGAAAGATCCGAAAGGCATTCGGCGCTTATCAGATTTTTAGGAATTTTTTTGGTAATCGCAAAGTCTATTAAATCGGGAAGTTTCTTTAGGTCTGCCGGCCAGTATGTTGGTGTGCCAGAAGAAACATAGTCTAGCTTGTTCTTACCTTTGATAATTGCATTATAGAGCTGCTTTCCTTTTGGGGTCACGAGACGAGATCCCCAGTGTCTGTGCTTGGCATTGTAGCCTCCTGCTGCTATGAAGTGGTCTCCGAGTGAGTTGAAAAACTGCATTAACTCATCTTCGGCTATGGTGAAGTGTGGAGGGCAGTATACGGCGGCTAGAGTTAATTGTTTGCCAGTATTTAGGTGTATATTTATTGATGTGGCCTGTAGGTAGTTTTTAGCAAATTTCGTATGATAATGGTGCTTAATACGGCTTCTGATTAAATTTCCAGTCCCGCCGTGTGCTTTACCATCTGGATGATTTGTTCCATAGAATGAATCTCCTCGTAGTTGGAAATTGTATCTGTTTGTAAGGTGTGTTTCTGAAAGCAGCATTACGTCGATTTCATTGTCTAGTAGGAATTGCGCTAACTTGAGTT